GGTTGCAGGAACTCTGAAGTGATGGTGAGTTTTGGAACTCACCACCCTTCGCTATGGCAAAACCAAATATCATCTCTAGTCCTTTCTTGCACCCAATGGCTCATGATCTAAACTTTAGTAGGGATTAAACAACTAGCGATGAGCGAACAGAGCAAAGTCGCTGGACGTTGGCTGTACAATTGAAAACATTTGTGAACCCTGAACCTAGTGGTGAACCCCACTGAAGTCTATGTACAAATCTTGAGAGATGCCCTAAACTTGCAGAAAGTGGTACACCTGAAAGAGGTCCTAAAGCAGCCAGGGATTCCCTGTACCAGACCTTTATCCTAGATGAGGCTCTACTATGTATTCTAAGGGGTTACCCTGTGCAAAAAAACTGTAAGGTCCCCCCCAAAATTCATACAAGACCCTTGGAGGGGCAGTGTACATGTACCTCTACCCTTCCTGGACCATACTAGGCCACATGCCCTCAACATGAGGAGGGTGCCCTGCTAGTAAAGCCCCTCCGCCTTCCCGGCAATGCACCTTGTCCCCATGTTGATGGGAACAAGAGCCTTTTCACCACATCCCTGGCCCAGTGGATGTAGGAGTCTGTGGGTAGGGACTTAGAATCTCTGGCAAGGTACCCTCCCCATGTTGAGCGTTTGTGACTCAGTATGGTTCAGGAGGAGGGGTGTACACTCTTTGCCCCTCACTTTCCAATCCAGCCAGGCTGCATGCTAGGATAAGGGTCTACTATGGATTTTTAGGTCCCCCATGCCATGTTTTATTATTATATGCGTGAGGTCCCCTCTTAAAATTTATAGCAGACCACTATGGAGGCCTCCCCCATCTTCTGGAACCCCAATCTGTGCGGGTATCTCCTACTCTAGCCACCGATAGGTGATCCCTGAAAACTCATCTTTTTAGGGAAGCCTATCCCGCTGCTACCTAACAACTCAACTTCTACCCTCTCCATTAGCTCATCCCTCACACAGTCATTACCTTTTGTATCACTTGCCCCTCCCTTTAGATTGTAAGCTCCCAGGCTCAGGGCCCCTGCCAATCCTCTTGTATTGAGTTGTATGGTATCTGTACTGTCTCCTTTGCTGTTACTATATAAATCTTGTATAATAGTAATATTAATAGTTTTATAACATTTTCCTATTTCAGATTTTTTTTTTTTTCAAATTGTGGTTTTTCATAATTTTTTATGGCTTTGGTTTTAAATGATTTACAGTCTGGTCCTGTAATAGGAGCAAAGAACGAGGCTGGAAATACAGGCGTACCTTGGTTTACCAACGCCTCGGTTAACGTCATTTTCGGTTTACGAATTAAAATCCATTGAAAATAATGCCTCAGTTTACAAATTTTTTTCGCAATGCGAACGGATTAATTGGTTTTCAATGAATTTATTGATTAATTTTTAATCATGTTCCTGTACAGTATTTATGCCTTTAAAGTGCACTTTATAAAGAGTTTTGAACAGATAAGACTTTTTTTCTGACCTCTGTAACGGATTAATTGGTTTTCGAAGCATTTACGATTTTTTTTTTTAATCATGTCCCCGTACAGTATTTATGCCTTTAAAGTGCACTTTATAAAGAGTTTTGAACAGATAAGACTTTTTTTTACTTTTTTCTGACTTCCAGAACAGATTAATTGGTTTTTAATGCGTTTACAAATTAATTTTTAATCATGTCCCTGTACAGTATTTATGCCTTTAAAGTGCACATTATAAAGAGTTTTGAACAGATATGACTTTTTTTTACTTTTTTCTGACCACCGGAATGAATTAATTGGTCTTGAATGCATTTACGATTGTTTTTCGCAATCGGAACAGATTAATTGGTTTTCAATGCATTTAAGATTTTTTTTTAATCATGCCCCTGTACAGTATTTATGCCTTTAAAGTGCATTTTATAGAGTTTTGAACAGATAAGACTTTTTTCTGACATCCGGAACAAATTAATTGGTTTTCAATGAATTTACAAATTAATTTTTAATCATGTCCCTGTATAGTATTTATACCTTTAAAGTGCACTTCTTAAAGAGTTTTGAACAGATAAGACTTTTTTTTACTTTCTTCTGACCTCCGAAATGGATTAATTGGTTTTCAATGCATTGACAAATTTTTTTTTAATCATGTCCCTGTATTTATGCCTTTAAAGTGCACTTTATAAAGAGTTTTTTGAACAGATAAGACTTTTTTTTTACTTTTTTCTGACCTCCGGAACGGATTAATTGGTTTTCAATGCATTTACGATTTTTTTTTAATCATGTCCCCGTATAGTATTTATGCCTGTAAAGTGCACATTATAAAGAGTTTTGAACAGATAAGACTTTTTTTTACTTTTTTCTGACCTCTGGAACAGATTAATTGGTTTTCATTGCATTCCTGTGGGAAACCGTGCTTCGGTTTACAAATTTTTCAGAATATGAAAAGTCCCGCGGAACTAATTAAATTCGTAAACCGAGGTACGCTTGTATGTTACAACATGACGTGAGCATCAATTTTTACATTCTCCGCAAGGTGACAATCTCGCTCAGAGTGAGTCGAATGCACAGACAGGAAGTGATGTCAGGTAAAGACAGGAAGTGATGTCAGGTGTAGACAGGAAGTGATGCCATATATAAATAGGAAGTTCCGGGTGAGAGGTGAGTTGGTAAGAAGTAGAGTGGAAATGTTGGTGGAACTGGCAGCAGAGGTGGTAATAAGATCTTATTTTCTGTTTACACTCAGTAACCCCCCGTCATGTCCGTCCTCTTCCTCCATCGTCATGTCCGTCCTCGTAAAATGGTGGACACATGGTCTTCTTTGGTTTTGTTGGAAGTAATGCTTGGCAGATATGTTATTGGAGGAGGGATGAGTCAAACGTACTTGAGTTTGCTTCGAGCAGAGTTCGACGAACATGACTAAAGTTCAGGTGCCAAACCCGAACCCCATTGATATCAACGGGAGCTGAATGTTGTTCTGGCCATTTTCTAGGCTATAAGGGATTGCCAAACAAATGGCATATGGATATGGGCACTTGGGGAACATGTACCAAAGCAAAACTTTTTTAAAAATCTGTTTGGTGGCGAGACGAAAGAAAGATGGCACGGGGTCAGCCTAAATTCCATATCCAAGAAAAGAAGAACAGCGAGGATTGGCAATAAGTCATAGGGGCGGACTGACCATTTGGAAACTCGGGCACTGCCTGAGGGCCCCGGGTCAGTAGGGGGCCCCATGAGATGCCCCAGGTACCTTTTTCATAGGCTTTTTTGAGTTTGGGCAAGGACATCGGGGCCCTATGATCCCCTATTGCTCAGGGGCCCCATGAGTTGTCAGTCCGCCCCTGGTCATAGATAGTATATACAGTCATGGCCAAAAATCTGGCCCCCATCCTGCTTTTCTGTCAGATAATGCACCACTTCACCCAGAAAATTGTTGCAATTACAAATGTTTTAGCATTCTCGTGTTTATTTCTTTTGTTTGTATCAGTAGGACACAAACAAGTAGAGAAACAAAAAGCCAAATCTGACACATTCCACCCCAAACCCCAGAAATGGACTGGACAAAATTATTGGCACCTTCAATGTAATATTTGGTGGCACACCACTTAGAAAAATACTTGAAATCAATGTCTTCCTGTAACCATCAATGAGTTTCTTCCACCAGAGAGGAACTGGAATTTTGGATGACTCTTCTTTCGCCAACTGCTTCAGATCTCTCAGGTTGGAAGGGTTCCTTTTCCTAACTGCTGTTCTGAGATCTCTCCACAGGAGCTCTATGTGATGGAGATCTGCACTCATTGGTGGCCAGTTCAGTCCTCTCCAGCGCTTTGAAACCATTTCTGGGGGCTTTTTGATGTGTGATTTGGGTCATTGTCCTGCTGGAAGACCCATGACCTCTATCGGAGACCCCAACTTTCTGACCCTTCATTGCACCCCAGAAATCTTTGGTAGCTTTCAGATTTCATAATGCATGCACACGGTCAAGACATCCAGTGCCTGAAGCAGCAAAGAGAGCAAAGAAACCTCCTGGTCCTAATGATTTAAAGAAGCCTATGTCCTGTACTAGATGATCAGGACAATAGGATTTGTAAATTACCAGGAAAATCAGGTTCCTGAAGCTCAATAACGGGCCACAAGTCCCTCACCTCTGTTCCTATGATGTCCTTATTGCTTGTTACAAAACTGCTAGATTGGAGTGGAAAGGGTTTTATAGGGGGTGCCCCTATTTTTTTTCTTTACATTTTATTTGTAGATGGAAAATGGAAGCGTTAGAAACTGTGTAAGACTGGCGTTTGTCTATGTTCCCATCAGGCTGATCTCCCCTAACATCTTGTTCTGCTTGACCCTCATGACCAGGGAAATAATTTCTCCCTAAATCCTGTAATCCTCAATAGAGTTTCAAAGTCTTTCAGATATTAATCCAGACCCTAAAAAAGGTTGGTTAGAGTTGTAATTTAAAGGGAATATCTGGTTTACTTTCAGTGAGATGGAAGAGTCTTGCAAAATAGTATAGGAATCAGTGTGAGGGGTCAGAACTCTGTGCAGACATCATTCATCTCTACAGAAAGGAGCATATCATGACTACCTTAATGAGAATGGACAAAGACCCAACCCATGTGACTGAGAAGATATTAGACTTCACCCTGGAGATCATCTACCTGCTGACTGGAGAGGTGAGGAGGATTCTGGGAGGTCACATGACATCACTCTTATCTCTGTTAATAAAACACAGACCTGACTGGAGAGGTGATGAGGATTTTGGGAGGTCACATGACATCACTCCTTTCGCTGTTAATAAAACACAGACCTGACCGGAGAGAAGAGGAGGATTCTGGGAGGTCACATAACATCTCTCCTATCTCTATTAATAAAACCCAGACCTCACCAGAGAGGTGAGGAGGATTCTGGGATGTCACATGACATCCCTCTCATCTCTATTAATAAAACCCAGACCTGACCGGAGAGGTGAGGAAGATTCTGGGAGGTCACATGACATCACTCATCTCTATTAATAAAACACAGACCTGACTGGAGGGGTCGGGAAACTTCTGGGAAGCCCATGGTTATAATTGTTATTGTCCCTTTACATAGGATTATAAGGTACTAAAGAAAACGTCTGGTGATCCATTACCACCCAGCAGCCGTCTTCACTGCCTGACAACAGAGGGAACCAGTGCCAAGAAGATTCTAGAAGTCACCAAGAAGATCATTGATCTGCTGACAGGAGAGGTGAGCGGATGCCGGGAATTCTGGGACATTCTCCAGTAACAGACAAGGGATGTGTCTGGATGGTGACTGTATCATTGTGTGTGTCAGGTTCCTATAAGGTGTCAGGATGTCACTGTCTATTTCTCCATGGAGGAGTGGGAGTATTTAGAAGGACACAAGGACCTCTACAAGGACGTCATGATGGACAATCAGCCGCCCCTCACATCACCGGGTAAGAGGAGACTTTATTGTAAAGGAGAGAGCAGTACGGAGGGTCCACCTAGATCCCCCATCATCTGATAAACACATAGAAACAATGGATTCAGTCAGTGTGTATGTTTCCTACAGGTGGATCCAGTCATGGGAACCGACCAGAGAGATGTCCCCGTCCTCTGTATTTCTGGTATTCCACACAGGAGGATCACACCATCCCTCACCATCATCAGGTAGATGGATCCAGCCATGGGAACCCACCAGAGAGATGTCCCCATCCTCTGTATTCCCAGGATTCCACACAGAAAGGTCACACCATCCCTCACCATCAGATAGATGGGTCCAGTAATGAGAACCCACCAGAGAGATGTCCGCGTCCTCTGTATTCCCGGAATTCCACACAGGAAGGTCACACCATCCCCCACCATCATCAGGTAGGTGGGACTGAGTATGTATACCTATAAATATATTCTAGGCAATGAAATCCATTCCATTATATAGCCGCTTGTTCCTTTTTATAAATGTATTCTTTCATCTTTGGAGTTTAGGGTGAAAAAGTGAAAGACATCAAATTTAAGATTAAAGAAGAAGAGACGTTGGTGAGTGGAGATCAGCAGTCTATGGAGGAGGGGGAGATGATTATGAAGAGTGAACAAGAGGAATCCTCTCTACCTATGGACACAAGTAAGTAAGAAACACTAAATGTAGAAACTGTTCAAACTTTAATTTTACTTCTGTGATAATTGATTATAATTGCTAAATAATATCATGGGTTGACAAAAGACAAATGTCCATCAGCTTAATTTCACCAATAAAATGTCATGTTCCCAACAAATGAGGAGGAGATATTGTACACCATATGAAAGGTCCATCTCCATTCCTCAATGTAACGTCATGTTCCCAACAAATGAGGAGGAGATACTGGACACCATATGAAAGGTCCATCTCCATTCCTCAATATAACGTCATGTTCCCAACAAATGAGGAGGAGATACTGGACACCATATGAAAGGTCCATCTCCATCCCTCAATATAACGTCATCTTCCCAACAAATGAGGAGGAGATACTGGACACCATATGAAAGGTCCATCTCCATTCCTCAATATACCGTCATGTTCCCAACAAATGAGGAGGAGATATCTGGACACCATATATGAAAGGTCCATCTCCATTCCTCAATATCACGTCTAAGACATGGGATAGAAGTTTTGGTGTGTTTTCATAATTTGGGGTTTTAATTGCAGACAATTCTATTTCTGATCTCTGAAAATCTGCTAAGTGTTAGAACGATTTATATAACTAAATAGAAGACAGGACGAATATTTGTAATATTTATTTAAAAATCGCTTTCCAACAGATGGAAGTAATGATTGGAATGCCACAGAAAGACATTATCTTTTATCTAAAGACTGTCATGGAGAAGATAATGATGACATTACACAATATTGTACAGGAATAAACTCTATTACCCAAAACACAAGAAGCATACCTGACCTTCTTGAAAGATTAATGGTTCGCTCTAATCCTGAGGAACCTTCTACTAAATCGCATCACAAGGCGGAAAGAAAAATAAATCCACGTAGCCCCAAGAAATCTGTAAGTTATGGAGTTCACACAGGAGCGAGTTCATCATCAGGTTTGGTGAGAGGGAACATAGCACTTGTTAGACACAAGAACAGTAACACAGCTGAGCGTCCTTATTCATGTCCAGAGTGCGGGAAGTGTTTCATCCATCAGGGACACCTCATACGACACAAAAAAATTCACACACGTGAGCGTCCTTTTTCCTGTTCAGAGTGCGGACAATGTTTCATTAAGGATGCAGACCTTCTAAAACACAAGAGAATTCACATGGGAGAGCGTCCTTTTTCCTGCTTAGAGTGCGGGAAATGTTTCAAACGCAAGGGAAAACTTATGGTACACCAGAGAAGTCACACAGGTGAGCGTCCATTTCCCTGTTCAGAGTGCGGAAAATGCTTCACTGAGAAAGGAAAACTTGTTATACACCAAAGAATTCACACGGGCGAGCGCCCTTTTTTCTGTTCTGAGTGCGGGAAATGTTTCACTGAGAAAGGAAAGCTTCTTAGACATCAGAGAATACACACAGGCGAGCGCCCTTTCTCATGTTTAGAGTGTGGGAAACCGTTCATTCAGAAAAATGACCTTCTTAGGCACCAAAGAATTCACACGGGGGAATATCCATTTTCCTGTTCAGAGTGTGGGAAAGGTTTCAATGGGAAAGGAAAACTTTGTAGACATCAGAGAAGTCACGCGGGTGGGCGTCCATTCTTGATAAGCGTGCAGGAAATGTTTCATTGAGAAGGAAGATTTGCTGTACACCAGATATCTCATACAGAGGAGCATCCTTTTTCTTGTTTGGCGTGCGGGAAATGTTTTACCGAGAAAAGAAGCCTTGTTGGACACCACAGAAAAGTCCTTTTTCTTTCGAGAATGCAGGACATTTTTTTATGTAATGGAGCACACAGTTCCAACAAGGTGGCAACAGGATCTGAATATCACAGCTGAACCCAGTACGGCGGTACCTTGTGGTACAAGGTTTCAATACTGTAGAAGACACGTTCCCAGCAGCTTCTGACGAAGGAGGTGATTGGTAGGCGGTGTGATGACAAAGTCACCTGAGAGGCAGAAGAAAGAGGTCCAAGGTAGCAGCTCAGGTGTAAGATTCCTACACTGTCCCACCTCTATTGGAACCTTTCCCTATGCTAGACACACACCATCCTTCCTCCATCGGAACCTTTCCCTATGCTAGACACATCGTTCCTTCTCCATCGGAACCTTTCCCTGTACTAGAAACACTGTCCCTCCTCCATCGGAACCTTTCCCTGTGTTAGACACACCGTCCCTCCTCCATCGGAACCTTTCCCTGTGTTAGACACACCGTCCCTCCTCCATCGGAACCTTTCCCTGTGTTAGACACATCGTTCCTTCTCCATCGGAACCTTTCCCTGTACTAGAAACACTGTCCCTACTCCATCGGAACCTTTCCCTGTGTTAGACACACCGTCCCTCCTCCATCGGAACCTTTCCCTGTGTTAGACACACCGTCCCTCCTCCATCGGAACCTTTCCCTGTGTTAGACACACTGTCCCTCCTCCATCGGAACCTTTCCCTGTGTTAGACACACCGTCCCTCCTCCATCGGAACCTTTCCCTGTGTTAGACACACCGTCCCTCCTCCATCGGAACCTTTCCCTGTGTTAGACACACCGTCCCTCCTCCATCAGAAACCTTTCCCTATTTAGACACACCGTCCCTCCTCCATCGGAACCTTTCCCTATGCCAATCACACCGTCCATCCTCCATCGGAACCTTTCCCTGTGCCAGACACATCGTCCCTCCTCCATGGGAACCTTTCCCTGTGCCAGACACACCGTCCGTCCTCCATGGGTAACCTTTCCCTGTGCTAGACACACTGTCCCTCCTCCATTGGAACTCATAAAAGTCTATGGGGCGCGACTTTCCATAGACATCTACGGTTCGCGACTTCCCATAGAAGTCTACGGGTTCGCGACTTCGCAGAGAAGTCTACGGGTTCGCGACTTCGCAGAGAAGTCTTCGGGTTCGCGACTTCGCAGAGAAGTCTACGGGTTCGCGACTTCGCAGAGAAGTCTACGGGTTCGCGACTTCGCAGAGAAGTCTACGGGTTTGCGACTTCGCAGAGAAGTCTACGGGTTCGCGACTTCGCAGAGAAGTCTACGGGTTCGCGACTTCGCAGAGAAGTCTACGGGTTCGCGACTTCGCAGAGAAGTCTACGGGTTTGCGACTTCGCAGAGAAGTCTACGGGTTTGCGACTTCGCAGAGAAGTCTACGGGTTTGCGACTTCGCAGAGAAGTCTACGGGTTTGCGACTTCGCAGAGAAGTCTACGGGTTCGCGACTTCGCAGAGAAGTCTACGGGTTCGCGACTTTGCAGAGAAGTCTACGGGTTCGCGACTTCGCAGAGAAGTCTATGGGTTCGCGACTTCGCAGAGAAGTCTACGGGTTCGCGACTTCCCAGAAAAGTCTGTGGGAGGCAGCGTGTGTGAACCCTGGTGCCAGGGCTCAATTTCTAGTCGCCATTGTGACTTGGCAGCTGGGATTTGTCAAGCCCTGCTATAGAGGCAGATTGGTGGACTAGGCCAAGTGGTGAAAAATGCAAATCACGTCATATTTGGGGAATAGTTTGATAGGTTTTCGGGGTTTAAATGACAGTAATATGATACTCAGGACAAAACAGCATTGACTTTTCCGCCCACCTGCAGTTGACACCAGTTGATACCAAATATGGCCAACCATGGCAAAACATGGGGCAACCCACTGGTGATGATGACAGCACCTGTTTAGGAAATTGGCAAATTCTGACAGTACATGGAGAATCCTACCGAAAAAATGAGCAATTGCTGCAATACATAAACAATAAAATGCAGAAACTTTAGGCTGGCGTGTCTTATTTGTGCATTTCAAAAAATGTGTACAAGGATCTAGCCTACTTGAAGTTAAAGATGAATGCAAAAAAAACAATTCTTAGTATTCAATATGGATTTGCACCCTTATTTCAGTGCAGAGGCGTAACTAGAATCTTCAGGGCCCCAGTGCAAGAAACCATGAT